AAAAAAAAAAAAAAAAAAAAAAAAAAAAAAAAAAAAGACTAGGGATATAGCTCAGTGCTCAAGGCTCTTGGTTCAATCTCAAGGAGAGGTGGGGAGGAGAAGAAAGGAAACAATCTGAGGCAGGGTCTCACTAATTTGCCTAGGCTGGCCTTGAACTTGCCATTCCCCTGCCTCAGCTTCCTGAATAGTTTGGATTACAAGCATGCAGAAGGTGCCACACCTGGTTGCTGTGCTTGTTTCTTTGTTCTGATACAGGGGCTTGCACCCAGGGCCTTCCTACTGAACTTTTAAAAGGTATCCCTGGCCATTTAAAAAAAATTATTTTTTAAATTTTGAGACCTGGCTGGGCTTGAACTTTTAATCCTCCTGCCTCAGTCTCCCAGAGTGCTGGGATTATAGGTGTGCACCACCATGCACAACTAGCATCTTTGATAAGTACTGATTACTTCTGCTTCTGCCTCTCTGCCTGTCCCCATCCCCCACCCATTGGGCTAGGGATTGAACCGAGGACTTTGCACACTGGACAAATGCTCTAGCACAACCACTATCCCCATCCCTCCTCCTTTACTCTTGACCCCCTTTCTCCTGCTTTCCTTTTCTAAAGAACAGGTAACACTTAGCATCCTCTAACACACCGTATGATTGGTTTGTACAGATTGTCTGCTTTATTCTGCTGGACTGCAGACTCCACAAAGACAAGGCTACATTTTGGACACTGATGCAGCTCAAGCCTCCAGAACAGTTGCTGGCACAATTAGTGCTCAATAAATACTTGTGGACAGAATGGAGACATCACTCTTGGGTGCCCTCACAGCCTCTACTACCTACCCTATGGTATCCCTAGGCCCACAGAGGCACACAGCTGGTGGAGAGTAGGAATCCTTATCCAGCTCTGGATTCTCAGGGCACGAGGTACATAATCGGTCCTCAGAGAATGTACCGTCCAGGGTTCTCTCCAGCGAAGAATCTGAAAGTTTCTTGCTGGAGTAGAAAGCTGAGCAGAGAGGGATTCAAGCTGATGCTTTCAGCATCATGTTGTTTGATGCTATCTTGTCAAGTACTTGAGAAGTGGACCCCAGACAACAGGTCTCTCTAGAGCCTTCTTTGGCTTTGCCCCCCCCCGTGGCAGGCAGAGTGATATGTCCCCAAAGATGTCTACTTCCTAACCCCAGGAGCCTGTGGGTTCTCTTCCACCTGGTAACAGGGAAGCTGCAGATGGGGACACCATCTTGGATTATCCCGGTGCAATCACAAGGGGTTTAGTGGGGGAGGGAGAGGCAGACAAGTGAGAAGGAAGAATGATGCTAGAAGCAGGTCTGAGAGATCCATCAGGAGAAAGGGTGGAAAAACCACTGTTGGCTCAGAAGATTTGGGCAGGGAAGAGGGATGACCCAAGAAATGCAGGAGCTTCTAGAAGCCCCTAAAGGCAACAGAACAGGTGTTTTCCTAGAGGTTTCCAAAGGAACCAGCCCTGCTGGAACCTTGATTTCAGCCCAGTGACACTCACTTAAGACTTGGCACCTCTAGAGCTGTAAGAGAAATTAGTGTTGTCACTGAATGTTATGGTAGCCATAGGATACTCACAATCCCATAATGTTTTCCCTTGTGCTGGCAGAGTAACTTTCAGCTTCTGATGGCTTCACAATATCAGCCTCCCTCCAACATGCCCAGGGCCCCGGCCAGCCAGCCTGCCTTTCAGGACCGTCTGGCTTAATTTTTCCCTCACACCTCCCTCCACTGGGGATCTCCTGCTCATCCTTTGGACTCTATGCCAAGTTTCCATGAGACACCTGTTAAGGGGTTCTAGGCACTATTTGGGGGGCTGAAAAAAAACAAAGTAGGGCCTCTGCTATTCTGTGGAGAGGGGAAGGCAGATTGCCATCAAGTACCCCACCCGCTAGCAAGTCATTTCCCATAGTGAGTGTATTCTACCTGCATTCCCGGATTATGGGGGCATTGAGCAATGCTGCGCCGTGGAGACTGAACCCGGTGCTCAACTAACCCAGCACTTTTTAGATGTGCTGTCATGTGAGGCCTCTCCAAGAAAACCTTTTGAGCTGGGACCTGTATGAAAATCAGTCTCTAGCCACATGAAGAGCCCCTTCCTCAGAGGACCTCCTTTCCTTGAACTTGCCTGTCATGTGTTTATCTGGTATTGTAGCCTGAATAGGATTTTGTGTCCCCCCAAAATCCTTTTGCTGAAGACCTAGCCCATAATGTGACTATATTTGGAGACATGGCTATAATGTGACTATATTTAGGAGTTAGTGTTGCAGAATTCTAGAGACTGGAGAGACCACAGGAGATTCAGGATTTATTTGGCTTTAGGTGAACACTGGCCCACGGGATCATGTCCCAAAGGCTGGGCGCTGAACAAAGGAAGGGCTCTAGTTTTACACACGTGCCAAGGGGGTGGACCTTGTAGGTGGGCAAGCAAGTTTACAGAAGCAGACAGTTTTGCAACTTAGTATGTCTAGGTGGCCTTGTTCAGGCAAATCAGGGTGTTATGAGAGCAGACTATGAATCTTCACTGACAGGAACACGTTACTAACTATTTGTAACAACAGTCCTAGGGAGAAGGCAGTCTGTTTGTAATAGAGCAAAGGACAACAGCCACAGGGAGGGAGAAGTCTGAAGGGTTAGGGTTAGGTCCGGGAAACTCGTTTTTTCTCTTAAGCACGGCTTCAATAGGGTAAAGTGAAGTCACAGGGGTGGGGCTCTACTCTAACCTGACTGTCGTCATGAAAGGAAGAGACACCAGAGATTCAGAGAAAATGCCACGTGAAGACGTGAGGAAGGGGGCCTCACAGAAACCAACTGTGCTGTGGCACCTCAGTTGGAGCCTAGTCTCGGCAACCTGTCAAGGCTGTCTCAAAAAACAAACAAAAGGTGGAGGCTGGGGTGTTTTCTGCGAGAGGGCAACCCCAGCTAGGCTCCGTCCTAAGTAATGCACGGGACAGACTGACCCAAGACTTCCCGCCTGCACAGCCCATCTCTGGTGTTCTGTCAGAGCACCTGGAAGAGGTAACACACCTGGTTACTAAATCTACATCACCTAGACCACAGCAAGAGCCACCCAGCTAGTCTCCCTGCTTACCCCTTCTACACCCTGCTCTCTGCACAGCAGCCTGAGAACTTTTAAAAAGTATGAATCAGGCCTTGGAACTCTCATTCAGATTCCTCAATGAGTGCCGGCCACCCCTCACTGAAGGAATTCTAACTTTCACAAGGTCTTCCCCGACGCTCATACCTCGTCCTCTCCACTTGCACACCCACCATACAGACTGTCCCCGTGCCCCAGACACCAAACTCGGGCCTCTGGGCTTTCGCACTGCTCTTTGCGAAGCCTAGGGCAAGCTCCTCCCATCCGGGTATCTACTTCTGAACGGCTGCCACTTCTGTGCCACCTTCCCCGACTCTCGCCCTTTCCCGGAGCCCTCCCACCACAGCCACACCCCCTGCCCTACTTTCCCGGGTCTTTATGGGCTCGGGGTGCGCGCTCCCGCTCGGATCCCGCGAAGCAGAGCCTCTGGCCCGCGGAGCCCCGGCACTGGCCAGTGCAAATACAGACACACGCAGCAGCGGCCAGGGCCAGCCGGCCCAGCTAGACGCAGGCTGTCTGTGGACGCTGCGCCCCAGCTTTCCGTCTGTAAGGCCCGGGCCCAGCCAGGGCGACCCGAGGGCGCAGAGGGGCCGCGCGCAGAGCAGGGCGCACGGGATGCGGCGCCGCGGGACAGCCGGCCCCGGGGAGGCTCGAGGTCCCCAGTGCCACCCGGCCCCATGGTACCGGGACCCACCGGGCCGGTATAGGTGTCTCCTGTGCGAGGGCCCCGCCGCCCGATCACCCCGCGGCCAGGCGCCGTACCCGCTTCCGCCACCCCGCGGCCCGACGT